CGGACTGAGCCGGTAGATCCAAGAGGTAACCAAAGCTAGTTCTTGAAAATATCTCTCGAACCGGCCCATTTAACGGACTCAAAACTTCATGCAACTTGTGACATGCAGCTTTCAGAGATATATTGCATGTCATCTTTTTGTTAGGAAGCTACAAAATAAATAAAAAATAAAGTTAAATAAGGTTTTATAAAAAAAAAACAGTGTTGGAGTATCACACAATAAAACAGTTAAACATTTCATATAATCTATTTACTTTCTATAAAATACCAAAGTAAATTATTTTACACAAATTTTTGTCTTTTCTATACTACTTGTATACAAAAAATAGTATTGTACTTTAAAAATGGTGTGACAATAACATATTTTATAACAAACCCGAAACTACCAAAACACAATGTTATTTTATCAATACAGTATAATACAAAGTATCTACACATTATATATATAAAAACTTCTTCAAATAGATAGTACATTGCTATTGTATGCTATAATTGAGACATAGAAAATAACATCATTTTTAACAACATGCAAAACATTGAATCATAAGATACATACAAGGGGATACAATCGTTACAAATACGTTTAAACAAATTTTTTTTTAAGAAAATTGAAAATAAAAAAATATATAAAATCATACATTTTAGGAAACCTACGATTTTTTTTCCAAAAAAAATCATAAGATACATACAAAGGGATACAAATGTTTATTGGCTATTAATTTTTTTTTAATAAAAAAAAATAATATTAAATACGGTTTTTTTGTGAAACCTACGGTGTACAAGTGTTTACTGCACAAACTATGCAGTAAATACTTGTACACCGTAGGTTTCTAAAAAACCTACGGTTTTCCTTTTTTTTTTTTATAAAAAAAATTATACCACAACAAAATACATCCAATTCCTATTCTATTGAGACCTTTTTTAAAAAAAAAAACGAAAAAAAATTAACGTCCGTATGGTTTCATATGAAACCTACGGTGTACAAGTCGACACTGCACAAACAGTGCATTGGGCACTTGTACACCGTAGGTTTCATATGAAACCTACGGTTTTATATTTTTTTTTTCAATTTTTGTCAAAAAAAAATTTATCCCCATAAACAAAACCTACTCCTAATCACAAACACGGTAAATTTTTTAAGAAAAGTAGACAAACCTGATTGTTCTTCGGGTGCTCCATTGAGAGAAAAACGTAGCCTAACAAAAGAAAACAATAGGAAAATGACATAATCTGAAAAAAATTTCATTATATACTTTGGGCTAATGGGCCACGAAAAAGTAAACAGGCCCTTCAAACAGTAGCCCATTAGGGGAAAAGAGTAGTCAACGGGCGTTGACCGTAGTCATCCCCTCTTGACCGTAGTCAACCGAAAGTTGACTACTCTTTTGTGGGGTATTTTTGGTTAAGTGAGTTTTTTTTTGGCTATTTTTTGATTAGTAATTAGGAAAAATGGCTAGTTTTGTATTTTCCCCTTTTTATTTTGTGTTTTTAGAAAATAACCATTTAAAAAAAAAAGACAAAATTGCAAAAATGGTCCCTGTGGTATGCAAATTTTTGGGGTTTTAGTCCAAACCCCGAGTTTTTGGATTTATGGTCATTTTGAAGTGGTTTGTATGTGAAAACAGTCTCTCCGAAAATTGAAATGACTATAATACCCTTGGGGTATTTATTTTTCATTTTTCTTAAAATTTAATATTTATTTATTTATTTTAACAATTAAACAAATAATAGAGGACCCACCTCTCTCTCTCTCTCTAGGACTTTGTAAAAGTCAACATTCCCCATTGAAGATGTGCAGGAAATTCTTTCTCTCTGAACCAGATTGGAGGTACGTTGGAAGAGTGAAAGAGACTAAATTGGGTGTTTGTTCTTGAGCTAAGTCGTTGTTGCCATAAACCACCCTTCCCTCACCATTGTTGGACCAAAAACCACCACCACCTCACTTCTCCCTCTTTCCTCTTGTTGAATTCTGTCAAGAACCGAAGAGGAAACCAAGAGTGGCCAAGAACTGCCACCCTTGACCACCCACTGCCACCGGGAACCACCAGAAGTCGCCACCAGCATCCACCATCGTGCTCCCTTGGGCTACCAACGCAAACCACATTCAACCATTACCACCGTTGTTGTCGGAAACATCCTTCCCAATCCCTCCTCTCATCACCAACTCATAACTCGTCGAAACAGAAACAAAAATGGAGCATCAGAAGGCCACCGGAGCAGCCTCCTGCCACATACTGTCGCCGCTCGTCACTACAGTCCAGCCACCACCTTCTTCACTGCAGTCCAGCCACCACCCAGATACTTTGAAGGTTGAACCATGAATTTGATCAAGGAAACTACGTTCCAGGGATACAGGACCATCAATCTGATATTAATTATGTAACAATCGGAGTACCAAACTAAAACCGGGAATTGGGAATAACACCGGATGAAGATTAAGATATAGAAGAATCTAATTAGGGTTAGAGAACACATATAAATTAACAATCGGAGTACCAAACTCGTCACTGCACTCCAGTCACCACCTTCGACTGTTCATCTTCTTATTTCTTCTTCTTTTGTCTTCCCCCAGTAGAATCTGCCCCCAAATCCCCACATTCTCCCCCGTTTTGACTCATGATCCCTCTTCAGAAAACAATTTAAAGATAAAATTAAACAATAATACTAACAAGAACAGCAACAGATTACTTAAAAGGTACAAACTCTGCTAGAGAGAGATATAGAGAGAGGCATATGAACGAGGTTTGGTTCGGTGGTGGGTTTACATAGGAGAGAGAAAGAGAGAGGGGTGGGCCCCAAATTAGGTAATTATTTTATTTTTCGTTTAAATTAAATAGAAAAAGCAAAAAAAAATATCAGAAGGGCATAATAGTCTTTTCAGTTTACTGAGGGACTAAAAACTCAAAGAAACTAGCTCAAAAGGACCACCAATCCAAAAAAGTCGTGGTTTGAACTAAAACCTCAAAAATTTGCATACCCCAGGGACCATTTTTGCAATTTTGTCGAAAAAAATCGAGTCGCTTACTCCAGAATGTTTACATTTCCAACATGTATTACGAAACTGGATATTGGGTTATAAGTAATTACTTGTTAATTTATTGGCTTTTTCACCATAAAAGCTAATCCAAACACTTTTTAAAAAACTCATTTTACCACCATTTTTATCTAAAATCACTTTTAAAGTTCAAAAAGCATTACCAAACACCCCTTAGATTATATATATATATATATATAGATATATATATATATATATATGTATATATATATATATATATATATATAGATATATATATATATATATATATATAACATCAAATTAATGATCAAAATATCAAAAATCTATCCAATTGTCTAACAATTATATAAATTATAAATATGTTTATGAAATTCATATATATATATATATATATATAGATATATATATATATATATATATATATAGATATATATCAAACATCAAATTAATGATCAAAATATCAAAAATCTATCCAATTGTCTAACAATTATATAAATTATAAATATAAATATGTTTATGAAATTCATATATATATATATATATATATATATATATAATGACTTGTCTTGATATCGTAAAACTTGGACAGTAGTTATCTGCAAATATCCAAAAGAAAAAAATAATTCAAAAAGCAAAATATTTATTCATAAATCCTAAATAATTTTACAATTACAAATAGTTTATATTTTAAGATCTTAAGACAAATAATCATATATATATAGTCTGATGTATCTAAAAGTAAATTATGCAATATTAAAATATCATTATTAAACCGTATCAAAATCGTCCGCACCGTAACAAACCTCGTCCACACCTTAACAAACCGCACCACAGTTCTAAAGGCACACTAAGTTGCCTAAAAGTCAAAATAGGTCTATGAAGAGACTTTTTTTTGGCACGAAACCGAAGCTTTCAAACGTCTAAAATCACAATTGATTATTCTATTTACTTACTTACCCCTCAAAGTATATCAACCTTTTAATTTAAACATTTATATTTTACCGTTTCTATTTATATTATTATATATATATATATATATATATATATATATATATATATATATATATATATAAAGTTGTGGAAGAAAGGAATAGTGAAGTTGGCATATTTTGTTCAGGTTTGGTCCCTTGATTTACATATCCGGTCTCTGTACTTCTTTAATTAATTTATTCATGTTCTTTTGTTTGTGTTCCATTCGACTTTCCATTTTTTTGGCAGAATTGGTCCCTGTATTATTGTTGGAAGTTAGGAATACTAAATTTGGATGTTTTTTTTGGCAACTTTGCTCATTATTCTTTACCCATTTTGACACTTTTGGTCCTTGCAATGAATATTTTTAAACTTTTTTGGAACCTTTTAATATTTAAAGTTTGGCCACAAAACTTTAACGGTTTGACAACTTTGATCCCTTTTCTAAAAAGTTGCTAATTCCTACCCCTTTAATTCTTTAGCCATTTTCACACTTCTGGTCCTTGCAGACAAAACTTTTACATTTTTTGTCCGGGGCAAAGCTCGGACTTTTCATCATTGCACTTTCTATATCTGTCATATTTATCAATTCGGAAACAACATTGAAAGCTTCTGGCCCCCGCGTATCGGGGGTAACCTTTCTAGTATATATTAAAGATGTGAAAAAACTAACTGTTAACCTGTTGGTTTTTTGACATATTTGGTCCATTTATTTCCTCTATTTCACAATTGGTCCAGCTCTTTATTAATATTACAATTTCGTCCTTCATGGGCAGTGTCAGAGCATAGGCAAACCAGCTCTTTTTGGGCTGGCTGGTTTGGAGCCGATGGGTCAGCGGCTGGTTGATGGTGGCTGATTTCTTTCTTTGGCTGCTGAATGGCACTGTCATCGGCTTGATTTATACGTGTTATTTCCTCAGTGAACCCACCGCCTATACACATGTTTTTTTGTTCCAGATCCCTCCACCGCTTAATACACGACGCTTCTTCTCTACTTTTCTTCTTCATCTCCGGCTTTATAGATTCGGGGTTGTCACCGCCAAAGCTTCCGGTTCACGCCTTCCACATCTATCGTTGTTCCTTTTTAAAGAAACAGACGATGCTTTCTCGACCGCCTCCTCTACCTGTGTAATGTTAGAACCGACGATCCCATCGTCGATGAAGTCAATCTCGCAAATCAAGTTTTTCTCATTGTTAATCAGCACCTGCTCCACCGCGTGTACACCGTATGGTACCCATCGATGCAGATGACACAATCTTTTTACCTTCAACGCCTCATATGGCTTTCGATTGTACATCATTTACGAAGACACACAGGGCGAAAATCGATTCCCTGGGAGTTGTTGATGCTCCTCCGGTATACAGGTAAGCCCTATTTTTTCGTTTTCGGAATTTTTTTTTCAGCTTCTGGATCTGGAAACGGAAGGTATTTCATCAGCCATGCCCATAAAAATGTCATCAGATTCAAAGCTCAAGAGAAATGAAAACACATATCAAATCTGTTTTGTATGCCCACTCAGTCGATATTCATCTTTCTCCTGCAATCTTGAATCTGTCTTCAATTTTTGGTGACTCTTCAACATGAAGCTGCCCCTGCTTCCGATTTTTTTCGTTTTCTTTGTCGGCATCGACACAGGTGCAAAACATGTTCTTCATTCCGTTCCTTTTCAGATTCTTTCTTCATTTCACGTTCTAGAAGTTCCAATAAGCAAGACAGAGGGGAGGTCGTTAGATTTGTTTCAACTCAATTTCTGCAGACTTCTCTAAGATTTTCTAGGTAAGTTTGGTGTCGACAACAATTAATCATCTTTGTGTGGCTAAGCCCTAATTTTCGACATTTTTCATGTTTACAATAGTTGATTCTAATGTACTTTGTGTTTTTACATGATACAGAGTATCCATGTATTAGAAAAGTGGGAAAAAGGACACATACCCATCTTCCAAAACAAAAATGGTGAAGATCATGTACTGAATCATAAGACAATATTGAAGTGGACTACAAAGGTTAAATTGTTTCACATCAAGCTAAAGGAATGAGGAGTACAAAATTCCATATATTCTATAAACGTGTAGGCTTTTTAATTGCAAACACAATTGCTACAGATGATGTAGAAGTTAGTCAATCAGGCAAAGACACTATTCTATCAACATTCTATTACGGTTATGCTTTTTCTCAGGTCCCTGGTGGGTGGGCTACAAAAAAGATTGTGAGAAGGCGTTCCTTTTTCATTTGGGATATGATCTTTAACATGTGAATTATGTCCATCAGATACAAATACGGTAATCTGTCAGACACTTTACTATTTTTAGTTACCAAAAACTCTATTTTCTCACTTCCTAAATTTTTATTTATTGTCAAATGACTTTTCTATCCGTGACAACAGAACTTGAAATCACTGTTTTCGTTGTAGGTTGTATGAATCTCTTTTTATATATAATCTCTTAACCATGTTAATAATTATCTAAAATATGTAACTTTTTTCTTATTATGGTATAAAAAGACTGAAATGCCCCTAATACAATTTTATTTTTTGGTCCCTGTGTTTACGTGTGCACATTTCTGTAATAACACACAATGTATTTTCGATTGCAATATCATATGCCACATGTTTAAGATGTTAAACTTACGATTTAAATTTTTTTGGTCTAATGAGCATGTATTGTCCTGAATCTGTACTATTTGCCCTAATCTTTGTTGGTTGACAGTTAGAACCGAAGAGGATTTCATCATCACCACTCGCCACCCGATACACTGCATCGCCCTTGATGTTGTAATGAGATTTGAAGGAGAGTTTGACTATGCACCCCAACTGGTCGATGAAATGCTTGAACTAGGGTATGTTGATTTTCAACCAAACTAACTATTATATAAAATCTTTGATGCATAAGATTTTCATCTAATTGAGTCTATTTTGGTCTAATTATATATGGTGTTAGTGGGAAATGGGTGTTGGCCTCAGAACTACAACGATTCAAATATCAACAAGCTCAGTAAGCATCTTCGTTGCTGAAATATTGCTTTACTCGATTGATATGCAATTATTTGCTATTGCTTAATTGCTACATATTCAAATTGTTGATATTTTTGCAGTTGTTTTTGTGTTTGATACCTCCATTGTGTTGTGTCGAATTTCGGAAATAGGTCAACAAAGAGAACGGAGGAATCTATACAAACCATTCTTCTCCAACTACTATAGGTATAATTTATTTTGTATTATTTGTAAATTTTAGCAGTTTTTAACAATTTAAGCAATACATTTTCAATGGAGTGGTATACTTGAACTAAAAATTAAGTAAACAATTTGTGATCATTAGAATTTCATCTTTGAAATTAATTGGCAGGCACCACACTGCTTCCAATTGGATTCAATGTTAACAACCCCTCAATCATCTCTGGCCAGTTCATTGCTTACCCATAAAGTTTAATCTTTATTCCTGAGAATTCAGATTGTCTTTTCCTCTTTCTGATTCTACTGTGTGTTTGTCTACTTTGAATCTGACGTCTCTACATCTACTACATATGTTTTTTGCTATTCTCTTTTGGGTATGTCAACAGTTTTCATTAATTTTGTGTTATCCGATGGTCATTGTTGATGGTGTATCAATTGATCACATCTTTGTTTATCATGATGTTCCTTGGGTTTCATACGAGTTAATTGTTGTTGAGGATACTTGCTTTGAAAGTTTAATGGTATGATGGATTGATCTATGAAGAGGATGTAGGATATCAATTTCTATTTTTTTTAATATATTAAAGTCTTATACCAAATACTTTATCAGTTATAAATGAGATTTGACTTCTCACACTGCAAATTAATAATGCAGTGAACTGATTAGAAGCTGAAATCTCACGGCTGCAAGGAATGACGATGCTGATCAGGAGGTTAATGTATAACATCTAACTGAGAATGGTGTTGAAGTTGAAGTATAAATAAGAATATTAAATAATAAAAGAATGATTGCAATTTCAACAACATTAATGTTAACTGAGTATGGTGCTGAAGTTGAAGTATATCTCCTCTGAAGTTGTGGAATTTTTTTAGTTAGCAAAAAGAACTATAAAAAACCATAGTTGTTGGTTAAAAGATAGAACTGAGTTTGAATGTTTTTCTACAGAAGGACCAATTATGTAAACATTTTTTGCAGCAAAGACCATTTTGTAATGTTTTTATGCCATAGGGAGCAATTCGGTAATCTTTCTCTGCCACAGTTGTCATTTATGTGATCTTTTTCTGTACATGGACTATTTATGTAATATTTTTATGTATACGGACCATTTTTGTAATATTTTTCTACAAATGGACCATTTTGGTAATGTTTTTCTGTCATAAGAACCAAGTCTGTAATCTTTTTATCAAAAGTGGACATTATATAAAATAATTCTTCCACAATGACCAATTAAGTAATAAATTTCTGTTTACATTTCCATTCATCCGATTGATGGCAAATTACACAGAATAGCAACATACTTTAATTTGGATACCAATTTATGCAATGTACTTCCTTATTTGTCTCACATAACAAACACATTCCGCCCCGCGCAACGCGCGGGTAACCCCTCTAGTTACTATATTAATTTTTATTTATTAAAAGCTTAACAATTACAATTTTGTATTATTCAAACGATTTTTATTTAATTAAAAATAAAATACTTTGTAGTATCTAACAAAGTTTTAATTAATATATCATTTAATATTTTTATTTTTAAATTAAGAGTTATTTGCCAAAATGTAAAATAAACAAAACCAACACATATCCAACTAAGTTATATTATTATATTATAACGAATATTTTCTTCCGGACCATGCCAAATCTGAAAGCATGACGACATACCAACTCACATATCCATCTCTTTTTTAGAGACTAAGTTGACTGTCATAGTGTAGCTCCGGGACACTCTCGTAGAGTATGACCGACGATTAATTTTTAATACATCTTTGAAGTTAATTGTTGTTTTTTGTTTTTGTTTTAAAAGTTTTTAACTTTTAAACTAAATATCGGTTTGATTTTTAATTTTTATAAAAACTTGAAATCTTTTAAACAAAATGTAGGTACCTAAACAACAACAATTTTAATTTATTTTTCATAAACTCACTAAAATAATAAAATGAAAAAGTCATACAGTTGTTTTTTTTCTTAATTTGGATGAAAAAAATATTTGTTATATTTTATAATTTTATAAAAACTAATATTTATTAAAATTCAAATATAAAAACTTCAATAACTTATTTTAAAAAAATCTTTATATAAAGTCACTAATATAACGAATACATGTATCCTTTTCGTTTTTATGATTTTTGGAAACTTTTTTGTTTTTATAAAATTAAAAAATAATTTTTACCAAGTTTTCGTGTTTCTGTTCATTTTATAGAGGATTAAATGTTAAAAAGTTGGGGTTTTTCAGATTTTTTTTTCTTACAAGAAAAATTAATGACCGAAATACAAATGTTTTTATTTATTTAATCATAATATACTGAAAAAAGCATATATATATATATATATATATATATATATATATATATATATATATATATATATAACACAAAGGATTGTAAATGAAATATTTTAAAATTAGAAAGGATTAATACAGAAAATTAAATATAGAATAAAGGACCTGAAATGTAATTTTGTTAATAATGGGTTCAACGTTGTCGAAGATTTTATTGCCACGTTTCAATGATTTTGATATTATTAATATTGGTTTATTACTAGTGGTTTTGAACGTGTCGGTGGTTTTGACCTAGAGGTGCCATTAACAACACACAATCACATCGCATAATGCGGTTTAGAACTTTCATTGTGTGGTATGTGGTATTCGAAAATCTTAAACTATAAATGTGGTGCGGTTTACGATTTTGGCTCTAAACCGCATCAAACCACACCATGCACACCCTAATTATTAAAGTATATATGAAATCGAAAATTGTATTTTTTTTAATGATATAGTGTAATTAAGAAAATAGCATTTTGCGATTTTATTGATTAAAGTTCAAACAATTGGTAAAAATTATCTCCACATTTATCTAGAGAGCATTTCAGAAATTGAAAAAAATAATACGGAGTATCATTTTTATGCGACAAAGTAATTTTCATTAAAATGTCCAACCGTGGCGGTGGTCAGAGGTGGCAGCCTTGAAAATATAGTCAAACTACATCAATTTGGGTTTTTATCATTACCAATACCTCGGTCGAATGGGTTTGTAAAAAGTGGTTAGCTTGGACTTGAGCCCACACGTTGAAAAGCTCCATGTTATCATTCATTTAAAACTGGTTAGCCGTATCTAATGGTAGAATTGAGGAT